CTAACTGGTAAAAAATAGTGGACGATTCGTAGAAAAAGCAATTCATCTCTGAAATAAGAACTAATAAGATATCTGAATCTTTTATGATGTAATAAGATGGCATTTGATTCAAATCAGTATGACAGGTGTTGTTGGACAATTTGCATTGTTGCCTAAATTGTTCCCATGTATCCCTGCAGTGACCTCCCATGTGAGGATTCTTGTCCCCAGTGCCCCATGTCCTGGGCAGGATACACTCACCTTTTTCGCAAACACCTGGTGTCATCACTATTTCATAGTGATTCATAAACACATGCTCTGTCATCATATCGCATCAATCACTGGATTGTCTGGTCCAGACTCGATACGTTTACAAACAACATCATACAGCTGTAATACTGCTGAAACAAATATCTGCTCATAATTTACCGGGTAGTCACAATTGTACAATTGACTCTGCTTTCGGCAGAAATCTTTATGAATATGGAAAAGGTTTTGTCACTTCTAATATTAAAGATAACGGCCCCGTGTTACTAAGCTGTTGTAAGCCTAAGGTCTCGTAAGTTTTCTTGTAGCATCCGTTAGGGCTGCGCAATATAACCGGTTTACGGGTATTTACCGGTTCAGACATGAAAACGATATGTATTGCGATACGCTGATCGAAAACCGGTATTTTGACATGCATTCGGAAAACTTCGTAACACTCGGAAATCTTCAGATATTTCCGTTTTTTTAATTGTTCTTTTCCCTGTTTCATTAGTGCCAAATGTTACTTACATTTTTATTTTGTCATGATTAAAATGAAAATTCTCTGCAATACCCACCCCTAGCATCCGTACCTAAGTTACGATATCTTAGGTTTATGAGAGCTTTGTGAAAGGGGCCTGCAGGTGGTTACAATGTGCAACAGTGTTGACTTTGTGTGCTTGTTCTCTGACATTTGTGTGCTTGTTCTCTGACAATGTGGATCTTTACTGAGGCTGCTGACCAATGGTTGCTGACCAATGCTGTGTTATTTACCAGCCAGTGTTATAATGTTTGTATATAGTGACTTCAGCATAAAGCAGCACTCACTCTGAGACAAATCCTAAGTTCACTGTTTACTGAAACAGATCTGTTCTCTGTGGTTGTGTGGAACATCATTTCAGAATTCAGTTTTAAATAATGATGCTCTTGTTGTTTTTCTGTTCATCAAGATATATTATAATTACTCATTCTGTTATAGTTATGTAATGGATAAGTCACTTGAATCTGTTGATTTCAGAAGTTGGATGAATAAGGCCAAAGGGTTGAGTTGATTGTACTTCCAGAATCAATAGATATGAATGATTATAAATAATGATCCATGATATCTTTGAAACATAATTTCTCTACAATTGCATAATGCCTCGGGGCAGTGGGGTACAAAGCATTTGCTTGTCATGCCAAAGACTCGGATCTGATTCCCGCATGGGTGAAGCATATTTCTGATATTGCTAGAATATTGCTAAAAGTGGTGTAAACACTAAACTTACTCACTCATGATAAATATGTTGGTGTTAGCTTTACACATTCAAAATGGCCAGTAAACTCTTGATTCATATTCATTATCAAACCGTTTTCATTTGTGTAATGTCCACATGTATCTATTTTTAAGTCAAATGTTGTTTATGATGGAAAGATGTTTTCACGATTATAGGAAAAAAAGTCCTCAATAAAAACGTTCCTGGTAAAAAAGTCCTTGGTAAAAAAGTCCTTTAGTAGTAAAAACTGATTTAGTTATTTAAGCAAATTTAGGACTTTTACCAAGGACCTTTTTACCAAGCACCGTTATCACAGGAGTGATGTGAATCTTTCATCAAAGTATGGTCCTTTCACTGACCCGTTAAAATTCAGGTTAGAGCTGGTCTTCAGAAACCCATGCTTATGGTATGGGGCAACGAACGGGATAGGGTGTTCAGGCTCTCTGACTTTCTTGATGCAGGGCATCATATCCCAATTTACACAGATCGATGCTGTGATATCATTCACATTGTCGGGCCCAGATTCATTATTTACATTCCATATAGCTGGAATATTGCTGAGCGTGGTGTTAAACAAGAACTGAACAATCTTTGTTTCACCCATTATATTAGTTTCTTTATCAGCAACACAAGAGTGTTCAAAAGACAAGCGATTGAAAACATAACTTCACTCAACATGGCCACCCCAGACACATATCCCAATATGGCCCATACAAGTTACTGCCATAACAATGCTGTGCTTCAGGGATTTTAACAGCCCTTTTGCTTGACTGGCGGTCACACCATTGTTGTTTCCTTACAATACGGCTCTCAACATACAAATCTTCTTGTCACAATGGCCAACCAAAACTAATGTTTAGAAAACAGTTTTGTTAAGATAACATATTGGTATATCCACCTTGGGTTGCTTTTTTATATTATTTTTACACCATTAAGAAATATTCCGGAGCTTAACCCAATTAAAACAAAGTGGAAGAATTTGTCTTAATTGAGTGCCTGAGCTTTAAGATAACCTCTGTACTGAAAGCCCATGGTGAATGGTGTTATTAGGAGAGGAAATTCCCGATTAACCATGGATATTATGATCACTGAAGTGGTTGTATGTGGGTGACGGTTCCCATAGTGTACATGAAGGCTCTTTGTCTGGAACATTTGGGTCGACTGTGGTGATACACTGGTTTGGGTTGAGGCCTGTTGCTCTGCAGTACACTATCATGTCCACTGGGTGCGAGTTATTAGAGAATAATTTGTTCAGTCAGGTAGACGATATGGAAGAATATGATGGGGATGAGATTCTGTCTTTTATAGTTTGATTCCCTTTACTAGAAGGTAATAGAAATGATTAAGTCTGAACAGTTTTATCATCTTGATGGTTGAATGATTATTATGGGGAAAAACATGACATTAGTGAGAGGAATATATTATTCAGACCCTACAGGATGGGTCTGTTATCAAGACACCCACCCATCTTGCTTTGAGTTGAGAAATAGAAGTCTAAAAATTATTAGCATTAAAGCGATATTTGGAACACTTTCATGCTGTTGATCACTGGATTGTCTGATCCAGACTTGTTTATTGCTGAGTGCGGCGTAAAACAAACTCACTCAGTCACTGGAACACTTTCACCTGTTTACATATTATGATCACTCTGGTTGAAACTGGGAAGTTAATATGGACAGTGACCATGTGAATGAAAAATGTTTGGCACTTGTAGGAAGTAATATTAAATAATTAATTACGGTTTCCTTCTCTGTTTGTGATGGGGCAGTGGGGCAGCCTAGTGGTTAAAGTGTTCCCTCATCAGGCTGAATACCTGGGTTTGATTCCCCACATGGTGTGAAGCCCCTTTCCGGTGTCCCCTGTTGTGATATTGCTGAAATATTGATAAAAGTGGTGTAAAACTAACTCACTGTCTGTGATATCATTTAAGGTTATATGTGAAGTCATTCCAACAATAGACAGAATCAATATGTGAAGTCATTCCAACAATAGACAGAATCAAATAATGTCTTCATTGGATCTTGAAACCCACATTTAGTGGACATTTGTCAGAAAAAACTCTACCACTTGTGAAATAGTAATTGGTAATTCTTTGTAGCTTGTAAGTAATTCTCTGAGGGACCTGTCTGAAATTATGAGTTTGTATTCATTTGTGGTGGCATGAATATAACTGACAATCCAGTGAAAGGTGGGATCAGAGTTGTCAACCCAGAAGGTCAAACTATGACAATGAATATGCCTATGCTGTAAACATCAGCAGGATGGCAAACCAAGGATGTGACCTTGAGAATAATAGCACATGATACATGAAATGGGAATCACTGAAGTTCAGGCTTGTTGGCATTCCTATAAAGTCATTCAAAACCAAAAATATACTGGCTTTGTATTTATTTCCTATCTTCTACTGGCATCTAAAAGATATATCTGCATGTCAAGTATTCACACCAGTAAACTTTTTCCTGACACTTTTATTATCTTTATTAAAGATGCTATTTTTGTGGGAATGTTGATTACCTGAAATAAAAATGTTGCTGCATTTGAGAGCACATGGCAAACAATAATCAGTAATCAATATAAATGTGTCTGACTTGTTTCATATCTTGAGGTGACATGAAGAATAGATTTGAATTTATACATGTATGAAAATTGCATATGACACGTCAGACCAAACATACATACCTGATGAAATGAATGAAAAATGTGACGAAGTGTTGTTGAAGCAATATTTTCACTATCAGGTATATATAAAACAATATAGCATATGAAAAATCTTTCTTGATTTCTGCTAAAATGGATTGTTTTGGGCATGAAATGCAAAATAGTGATGAAAATTGTATGAATGCATCACGGATAAACAGTGATAACACCAGGTGTTCAAATTGGATATGCCTGCTCTGCACAAAGCACCGGCTATAACTTGAGTTTATATATGATAGCAATCTAGCTATTGTTATAGCACCTGTCATGAATTACAATGTATTCACCGGAATGGAAAACAGGCTCAAGACTGTTGAACTTAGCTTCCCTTTAATCCTTTACACTCTGTGAGACCTGTGACAATCCGGGTTAGAATTGATCTTCAGTAACCCATGCTTATCGTAAGAGGCGACTAATGGGATCGAGTGGTCAGGCTCGCTGAATTGATTGACACATGTCATCGTATCCCAGTTGCATAGATTGATGCTCATAATGTTGATCACTGGATTTTCTGGTCCAGACTCGATTATTTACAGAATGCCGCCATATAGCTGGAATATTGCTGAGTGCGGCGTAAAACTAAACTCACTCACATTCACTACACCCTGTGATGATTCAAGGCTAGAAAAGATGCCCAGGTATTGCCACAGCAATGTGGAATGTCACTCATGACATCAGTCACCGGTTTGTTTGGTCGTCAATACAGGTCGTCATGACAACTGAAATATTGCTGACTGTGGCATCGGGTTACAATCAGACAAACATAATCTGCATGCTAATTTCATGAAAATATCGATTCATACATTAAATTATGTATTTCAGGCAAACCCATCTCCGACAGTACATATTCCCGGAGTCAGCTGTCATCGTATGCCTACCTCCGTAAGGGGAAGCTACTCCACCAGTGGGTGAGACGACTCTGTGTGATTACTGGAACCAGATTACTTATATACAGAGGTAAGTTGTACAGCTACTTCCTACTGTGCATCATGCTGTTGATCACTGAACTGTGTGGTCCAGACTTATTATTTACAGACTGCTGCCATTATAGCTGGAATATTGCTGAGTGTGGCGTAAAACAACAAACCAAACCATAACCTACTGTGCAATAGATTTGGAGCATAACATTTCCAGCTGTTCCTACTACAGGGCTCAATGAATGAAGCAATTTAAACCTAAACCTTAAACAGATTAATTTCCTTCTGGCTAAGTGTACCTTTAGGTACATCTTTGGCTACCTTTTTGTAAAGAGGTTGTACAAAAAATTATATCTCTTAAATTTACAACACCAGTTAGTGAAGAGTCATGACGTATGAAATATTACCAGACTGTAGTTTTTCTTCCAAGGGAATTAATGAATGAAGCAATTTGACCATAAACATTAAACACGTATACTTCCTCCAGTGCCTTAGTCTACCTATAGGTACCCATTTTACTAATCTTTGTAAAAATGATTGTACACAAAGTTATGTCTACCTTTATAGGTACACATTTTTACTAATCTTTGTAAAAGATGATTATACACAAAGTTATGTGTGGAATATTGCTAAAAGCCATAAGTTTATAAGTCAGTCATAAGTTTATAACAGTAAAGAGTCAAGAAAATATGATGTTAACAAAACTGTCTTGGTAGTTTTCCTTGGGAAAGGTCATCGCTGAGGGAGGTCATCAATGATTTTGAATATGTGACCTCCCTGAATCACTCGTCACCCACCATCAATAATTTACACAGAACCCTAAATATGCATCATGTAATGTCCACATTAAACATTATCACTGAAAAAATGTTCGATGTACTCATACACCATGGGCGGATCCCATGATTTTGAAAAGTGTACTGATGCAGGACTGGCAAGTTTTACATCTAACCAGCCCTGTGGTCTGGCTGAAATTTTTGGGAGTTTCATACCCTGAATATATATATTTGCAATGAGATATATTAAGGTTGAGTTCTTTGTGGTTTCCAAAAGAAATTCAACCATCAAATGTGATGATACCTCTCAGTATCATAGAACTGAAACCATTCCTTGCTCAGATCGCAGTGCCAAGCCTACGGTTGTCCAGTTGGCAAAAGGCTCTGTGGAAGAAGTACAGGTCAAAGGTCAGGAATACTGTCTAAAGCTGACATCGACCATCCAGGGTGAAAGGTCAATCTACATCTCCTTCATGAATGCCGGTGAATACAACAAGTGGATCAAGAAGGCTAAAAAGGTACATATATTGTAAACATCAATTTTCAGATTCCTTAGTCCACAAATACCAAAGACAAAACTCTGGTTATACGAACTCTAAGGGATTTGTAATTTTAGTTCATTGAAATCCTAGTTTGTTATATGCATTTTGACTAAAACATACAGCAAGAATCCAGGACAAAAAAAAAGTTTGATACATATATCCATCAGTTTGTTGTGAGCATGTTCTTCTTAAATGGAGTTTTACTAAATGCCACTGAACAACTTTAATGGGCTTCTTTTGTAAAATGGAGTTTTATTAAATTCCACTGAACAACTTTATTTCAGCATGAGGGTCAAATATTGTCCTTGGTTTGTACATCAGACAATCCAGGTTTTCAAATAGGTATGAAGGCTGGTCCTAAATGACAATATTTCAGCATGAGGGTCAAATTTGTCCATGGTACCTGGAGGCTGGTCCTTCAGGTATTACCAGACAATATTTCAGCATGAGGGTCAAATATTATGGTACCTTGGTATAACCTTACAGTATTTCAGCATAAAGGTCAAATATTATCCTTGGTACCTGGAGGCTGGTCCTACATGTATTACCGGATAATATTTGTAAGGACAAGATGACCTGCAAGATTATATTACTTAAGATAAATACATTGTTTGACCCAAAATATGCTTACTAAAACCATTGTATATTTTAAGCAAGAAATTAATCTGTAACTTTTCAGTTGTAATGATGTTGAATTTATTTGTACATTTCAGGCAACCTCCAAACTTCCAACCAAGGCAGACCTTTCCAACTGCCATCTGGAGTTCCTGCCAGAGACGGTCTTCATCAACGATGATCTGGAAATCCTGATCTTGAGACACAACGTCCTTCGAGAACGCCCCATTGAAGAGGATATCTACACAATTGGATGGCTGGATGATTTGCCAAGGTGAGATTAACATGGCAATATACATATGTACATCAAACAGATGAATAACATCAAGATTTGTAATACAGACACACTTAGAGTTTCTGTCAAGTCCCAAATAAATAGTGCAGCTGTATTCTGTGCTGAGCCTCAGAGAGTCATTCACAGAAATAAACAATTACAGAGTTTATGCAGTACAATCAAACCATTTTATTCTGAGCAATCTTTGTGTTTAGACTGTCATATTTTATGTTGAAATATGGTTAAATAATGATTGCTTTGGCACTATGGTCTCTAAGACCAGCATAGTTTTATGGTACACATACCGTCTACACCTTTGGTTTTGTATTTTTTGAAATCTTCTAATATATTAATAAATTGTCAAAGAATGTATCATTTGAACCTAATTGTAAATCCTACAAAACATATTTGGGGATTTGGATTACAAAGGTTTTGGGTAATCTTTCTTCTCATATGAATCTTTAAGAATTAGGAAAATTTAGACGACAATCTTATGATGTATAAAGCCAAATTGTTTGAAATTGTCATGAGTCAGGAAAGGGGTCAATATGGTAATACTGGTAATTATGGCTATGAAGATGTGTTTTTTCAGAAAGCTCACCATTTGTATGCCACAGTTGTGTATAATATGAGTCTGTCCATGTATCTCAGGTTCACCCACCTCCGAAGCCTCAACCTGGCTGACAATGGCTTGGTCAACTTCCCCCAAGCTGTATGTCGAATGCGAACCCTGACTGAGCTCAATGTCGCCAGCAACAAACTTGAGGAGGTCCCCTCCCAAATATCAGAACTCACCAAGTAAGCAGGAACAAAACTGTTCTGTATCAACAGATACAAGATCAAATTATTGCAATGAATTTTAAGTGCCACAATTATTTCAGAATTACCTTTATACAAATCATTTATGTAACAAAGGTCAGTTGTGCTAAATCCAGTTCGTTGGGTTTCACAATGTTCCAGTGACAGTAAATCCAAATACAAAACTTGTTACTGAAAAGTATTCTGTCAAGAGAACCAGGTACGTGCTGAATGGACAGTTTTTGTTTTACAGGAATGTTATTTATTTGGGGTTTAATATTTTATCTTTTTGCTTGGTGTGTTTTCTTGAATGGGCAGCAGAGGGTTGGATTTGTTTTTGGTTTGTTTTATAGACTGACTGACTGACTGAGTTTGGTTTTATGCTGCTTTTAGCAATATTCCAGCAACATCACGGCGGGGTCAGAACATTACATAAACTAGACAGTTTGAGCATAGATGAATAGTTCGGATTTTGTATTCTTTCCTGAAAATAGTCCCATTATGTCATTATGTTCTAGTATTTGTTTGTTATGTCTTTCTGTTCTATTCTTAACCCGCCGTATAGCTGAAATATTGCTGAGTGTGGCGTAAAACTCAACTCACTCAACTCTATTCTTTACATGTTATTTTCAATCATTTCAGCTTACAAGCCCTACATCTTCACAATAATAGACTGTCATCATTGCCGGAGGAAATAGCTCACATGAAGAAACTAGTTGTCATTGTGCTGGCATTCAATCGTTTTACGTTTATTCCCAGCGTTTTGTGTCAGTCCCATCATGCATCATACAAACTGGACAGCCTTATCATGGCAGGAAACCAAATATCCCGTTTACCCACAGACTACTTAGACCATATGACACACATCAAAAAGATTGATCTCAGAATGAACAAACTTCAATTGCTCCCGACAGAAACTGCTCGGTTTCAGTCACTAGATCATGTGACTCACCTTGACATTCGAGACAATGAGATCGTCGACCTTGACATTCGTGCAATTCGTGCTCTGGAGTATTTAAACTGTGAACGGAACATGATTCGAAGCCTTCAGATCAATGGATCATCATTGAAGAACATTTTTGTTTCACATAATAGTAAGTATATACTGCAAGAAATAGGAACTTAGGAACCTTTGAAGCACTTTGCAGTACAATGGGTCGTATGTGTTTCTGAGTTTAAACCTGTGCAGGGACATGGGCACTCAAGTGCCAAAGATGCCGCAGTTCATACTGAAGAGCTACATCTCTATGCCACCAAGATCCGAGTTAGAATTGATCTTCAGCAACCCATGCTTGTCATAAGAGGTGACTCACGGGATCAGCTGGTCAGGCTCGCTGACTTGGTTGACACATGTCATCATATCCCAATTGTGTAGATTGATGCTTATGCTTATGCTGGGGTAGCCTAGTGGTTAAAGCGTTTGCTCGTCACGCCGAAGACCCGGTTCGATTCCCCACATGGGCAAAATGTGTGAAGCTCATTTCTGGTGTCCCCCGCCGTGATATTGCTGGAATATTGCTTAAAGCGGCATAAAATCAAACTCACTCACTCACTCATGCTGTTGATCACTGGATTGTCTAGTCCAGACTGGATTATTTACAGACCTTATATTACAGCTGGAATATTGCCAAGTGAGGTGTTAAACAACAAACCAACCAAAAGCCAAGATCCTCTTGTCAGGGTCCACCCATACTTTACTGCATTTTCTGTTTGCATTATTCCAACTGAAAGACTAAACTGCAAAAAAATTCATATTCTGAAGGGGTTAAGGTTCTGTTTTCTAAAACAGCATGTTCCAGGAAAAAAATGAAAACAGTAGCTTTTCATTTCATCTTATTTTCACCTAAAACACATTGGTTGTTGCATATATAGATACTTTAGTTGTTATGTAATTAGCTTCTTTTGCAACAACAATTATTGTCATACTTTTTTTCACAGTACAGGAGGATGACAATCTCAAACAGTTAAAACAATTGTCTTTGTCTAAATATGCATGAAAGGTAAATGAAACTTAGACAGGTTTGAGAAAGTCAAAATATTGCATGAGTTCAAATGAACTTCCAAAATAAACTACTATATTCACAGACAGGCATACATTAATTCACTGTTAGTGAAAGTGTTGTCATGTTTTGTAGATGTGGAGCATTTAGTGAAGAGGCTAGAAGTTGATAGAAGCTATACTAGTAAAGTAAACGTTAAATTAAAATGCAACAGAATGTGTCTTGTTGTTGTTTATTTTGTCACCATAATTTCTTTTCAGAAATAGAGACTATTTCCATCAACCCCAAACCTGAGTGGCTTGTGTCTATGGATGTGTCCCAGTAAGTATTGATGGATTGTTTCTTGTTTAATGCTGTACACAACATTACTCCAGTAAGGCCTAAAAAAAAATGTTGTGGTTCCAATTACCCGACCAACCCTTGAATTCTGGTGCCGACCCTATTTTGTTTAAGCAGTATGAATAAAATATGTTTTCAGATACCATTGTATTTTTCCGGCACTGACAGACATCGGTCATTCTGATAGAGAAAGTCGAAATGATGGCTGCAAGGTTGATTAAATAAACAATGACACATTGATAAATGTGTTATTAGTTTATACTTTACTTCTAAAGAATATATATTAAAAAAAGTACCGAAGACCCGGGTTCGAATCCCCACATGGGCACAATGTGTGAAGCCCATTTCTGGTGTCCCCCGCCGTGATGTTGCTGGAATATTGCTAAAAGCAGCGTAAAACCAAACTCAGTCAGTCAGTCAGTAAAAAAAGTAATTCCTACCTATTTTTACCTCTTTTTATTTGGCCTAATAGCCCAGTAAGTATACCCATATATAGTAGTATACAGACTAAGTAGACATGTTCTAAAGACTGTTACACACTGGAACAGATCAGTGGAACTGTTATCAAAGGGGAAACATCTATATACCGGTAGCTAGTTTTATTGGACCTGATATGATTTTGTTTGTGCTGTTATCATTCAAAATACACAGATCAACAATCGGAGCTCAGTAATCGATCAATAATTGATTGCAATCATAAACCCCACCACAAAACTCATATCGGCAATAACAAGACACAATCATAACATTGTGCAAACAAAATTCTTCACAGATTGCAAAAAAGATTAAGACGAGGATACTTCCTGTTGAGACATGCACACGAGTATGTTTACATTGCAATTTTATGAGTCATGAAACTACATCAGTTGTCTTGATTTAACAAATATAACAAAAAGAAACTTACTTTCTAAAGTTTAATTTGATGTTTCATTTTTTTAAGAATATTGATTAGTCTCCCGAGGTCATCAATAATTGGTGACACAAGTGAGATTGATCGACTGACCGATTATGTCTTGATTATCCAGTCATAGATGTTTGGGAGCTGTTCTGAAGTGAATTGATGATCCTTCAAAAGACAAAAGGATACATTCAGTTGACTTCATCTCCAGGACAATATGATCATGAAATTACATGATGAGATGAGGAAGACATTGTCCTCAAAATACCAATGAAAATTTGTTTTCATATTGAAAGTATAATAATAATAATGATAATAACTACTGGACGGTACAGCGATGGGAGTAAACCAGGTGAAGTCATTCACCAAGTCTGCCCAGAGTCGGTCATTTGTGGAGAAGCTTTCTGAGAAACCATTGCATCGTGTGTACATGCAGTGTGTGGAACAGAATAGCAATCCCACCGACTCCTTTGCCTGGATGAAGTCGGCTGGTCTTAAATGTGAAACTGAGGGCTTCCTTTTAGCTGCTCAGGACCAGTCACTTCTCACACGTAATCGCCAAAATGTGATTCTTAAAGAGAATATTAACATGAAATGTCGTCTTTGCACTGAATTCACAGAGACTGTCCAACACCTTGTCAGTGGATGCCCTTTCTTGGCACAAACAGCATATCTTAAACGACATGATGGCATGACTCGTTGCTTTTACTACCGTCTCCGACATACCTGTGGTTTTGACTCCAAGGTCCATCCATGGTACAACCCTGAACATGTCTAGGGCGTCATGGAAAATGATGCTTTCAAACTTCTCTGGAATAGGCCCGTATACAACCTCAGAAGAATTCCAGCCAACAAACCTGATCTTGTCCTTTTTGATAAAGCCAATGAATTTATATATACATTATATATATATATTATTGAAAAAGACCCTGCATGTTTTAAGCATCTGAAAAAACATGGATATATACGATAAACACTGTTAATTGCAATCCGCACTGAATTTCACTAGTTTACTACGTGATTAACCAGAGCTCAACAGCGGATTTGTTGATGTGCTTTTTTTGATGACGTGAATATGTGTGATCACTGGGCAACTTTTTTTTATGGGAGCCACGGATTACCCCGCGGTTTAACCGAATCCGCGGTATCGCGAAGAGCGTTATTGCGAGGGATGACTGTATCATTGAATTTTCTGTCCCTTTTGACACCAATGCGATTGGCAAGATTCAGGAAATGCATACTAAGTATGTAGACCTCGCCTTTGAAATGTCTCACTTGCATCCCAAGTACACTGTCGTCAGGCTCCCCATTGTTCTCGGTGCCCTTGGTTTGGTACCTCCTGATCTCTTGGCGCAGATCAGGAGAGTACCCAGGTTCCCCACCGTGAGTACAGCCCTTCTGACACTCTGGGTAATGCAGAAGGCTGCAGTGTTGGGGAGCCTTCATATTCTCCGGAAAGTTCTTGGTGGATTCGACTGGGCAGCGTTTCCTGGGAGAAGTTCCATTTGCTGTCTGGACTGCGTGTAGAGGGGGGCAAGGGCCCTGAGCTGATGATGAGCCTTACCAGCCTGACTGTGCCAGGATCACCCGAACCCTCTCTGCTGCATTTTCATGTTTAATCTGTAAAACATAATAATGCAAATTTTTACGTCTAAAATCCAACACGACACTGTTCTCTGGCGTTGCATTATTACCCTGACGGAATTGTACTTTCAAAGCCCCTACTAATCGCTTCGCATGACCGTATAAGTCTGTACATTCGCTTCCCAGGTACCCATTTTGAACAGCTGGGTGGACTGAGTGCAATGTGGACGAAGTTCCTTGCCCAGGGACACAACACAGTATGACACCCAGGTCACAAATTTTGGTGTCTCCACTGGGATTCGAACCCAGGCCTTTGGCATGAGAGGCCAGCATGCTAACCACTACACCACTGTGCTTGCTTTACACCATCTCTATAACATTCTGTCCTTGACATGCAATGTCAGCAGTTTTGTGCAGGCTACAAGCTCAGGAGAACTTTCTGATTGTGTTTCTTGTTTTAGTAACCAGCTGAAAGAGGTTCCCTCATGGCTAGGTGACTGTTTCTTCCTAGTACGACTGGATCTGAGCCACAACAAGATCACTCGTCTTCCTGATAGGTAAGTATTGTTCAATATTATATCCACAATATATCTAGTAAACATTGTCACTTTCTTTCAAATGCAAGAAAAGACAGCATGATATCAAGTATATTTATCCGTATATTTGAACATCAACATGTCATGACTTGTAGTGAGTGTGCTGGTAAGGTAATAAATGTTGATTAACATCACAGTCAGTGATATTCCAGATATACCACACCGAGTGCATCCAATGAATAATAGAATGTCAGCAAGATGAACCTGAGGTTAGCATGAACAACAATCAACACCATCAGATCACTATCACACGCAATCTGCCAGGTCACTCATTGTAACCATGCTCCTCTTTTTAATTAACTCTTACCAGAAGCATGGCTATTGGGAATGTATGACACCCAGTCCTCACAGGACTGTGGCTAAGTGTATCAGTTCCACCTTGCTGATGTGAGTTAATTTTTAATCCCTGTGTTTGTAGGATGCTGACTGATGCAAGGAAGCTGAAGATCCTCCGCCTGAACCACAACCAGCTGACGCAGCTGCCAGCGGACATCAAGCATTGCCTCATCGAGGAGCTACACCTGGAGCGGAACCTCCTGACCCAGCTGCCTCCTGAACTCTTCATCCGGGCCAATAAGTGAGTGGAGCATGCACCAGGGGACTACACTTTACCACCTTAATGAATGATGTATGCTAACCTTTAGGCTGGATGATTAAGTTACTGTCTCTGATTTAGGGATTATTCTGTATATTTATTGACCTCTAGACTGATAAATGATTGATTGGAACATTGCTGTGAAATCTCTGATATTGTTTACATATACTATTCACACTTTGCTAAGGATCAAATCATTGATTGAACAGAAAACTTTGATGTGGGGTCAAATTTGGTTTAAATATCTAAGCCTATTTTAAGCATGGATCCAAGTTTTCAGTATGTCACTGCATCTTGTGGATCCCTACCTGCTATTGACAGGTGTTGTGTACTTGTCAATGACCCGTGCCATGATTTGCAAAATGGTTGATTGTTGCCATGAAAACCATTTTTATGGTTATTCATGTATCAAGTGCATACGGTTAGCTAAAAGTGGCTGTTTTCCTAAAGATGTGTTACCATATTATCATTTATCCAGTTTTAAATGGATACAATTTCAAATTATTAATCTATGTTTAAGTAGAGTTGCAAATTTTTGTGATCCTAAGCAAAGTGTGAGTAGTGTACTATATTTGATGTAGTTGATAGTGCAAGAAACAGTGCTTCCTTGAAGTGATTATATAATTACTGTGACAAAGTTAAAAGTCATGGTATTTTTGTGCCCTCCATAGTTTTCCGTATCAGTGTTATGTTTTATCATATTTAGTAGTCAATACTAGTCATGACACTGGATAGCACCGTCACCAAGGATGATATGGACTTTTAATCATCAGATGACTCTGGTACTGAAGTCCATATCACCTGCATTGACATACAGGAACTAACCAATCATTTGAGTCACAAACATGATACACTTCATGTAACAATGCAAAACAAGAACCTTGACTTGTTGCCCTCTTGTCTGAATCTATAATCTTTTACCTTGCCAATTGAGCATTTAAATCTCAGAATTTTATTCAACTTAACAAAGTTGTTTAACAAACGATCATAGTTTCAAATTGCTTTGTATTACAAGGGGGTATGCACATTAAATGAAACACCGAGAACATGTGGAGTTGGTCTAAGTTAACGCTCATCACGTACTGCTCGTGCACTTGTATCACTGTTCCAATTACTGCGTTTACTCCCTTGTAATACAAACCAATAATTGCGATTTGAATCTGTGATTGTCTGTTAAACAACTTTTATCCTAAGTTGAATAAAAATCTGAAATTTAAATGTTTAATTGGCAAGGTAAAATTATGAGTATATACTATACGCAATCTTAATTTCACTGTATTTGATTTACTTTTGTGTTTAAAGTGAAATTCATCAGTAAGTTTTCACTGCAAACAGACTATAATATTTTCTACTTCAGTTTGATTGTCAAGAGTTGTTACAAAGAATAACCCACCAAAACGTTGGGCATGATACACCCTATTGGTATAGATGTAGATATCAGCATATGAAATAAGGCCAGTCCGACCGCCCGAGATGGGCTAGATTTTTGATGGATGGTCTAAATTTACAGCTAGCCAGCTCGATGGTCTGGTAAAAATTTTAGATGTTCCATACATCTGAGTAAATTCACCATACCTACAGTCCAGCCCCCATACTTCGCTCATAGCAGCAAAAGTGTCTATCTGTCACACAGTGTCTAACTGCAAACTTAAAACCTTTGGCTTTTCTCCTACTCTCCCCCCGTCTTGTGGAACTCTCTCCCCTTTGACCCCAAACACTCTGAATCTCTGGATTCTTTTAAATCAGATCTCAAAACTTACCTCTTTGCTCAATATCATCATTAATAGCCTTAATTGTTTATGCATTATGCACCTATTCATTGTCGTTTTCTTAACTCTGTATATATTATGTATGTATTTTATTTTAATGCAGCCAAGAGCATGCTTACGAGCGTTGATATATGCACTATTATTATCATCTGGTCTGGTTAAATCCATTTTGGGCTGGTAACATTTTAAAGTTACCAGCCCTGATGTCTGACTGGATTTTTGGCTTATTTCATACGCTGTAGATATATAAATCTGCATGCTTGTTTCCAGACTAAGGTGCCTGAACCTCACAGGGAACTGTCTGGTTGACCTGCCAGCACCGAACCGTAACGACACGTACAACAAGCTGCAGGAGCTGTACCTCACCTCCAACAAACTCATCAACAAGGCCATATTTAAAGTGTGCTGCTTCCCTAGACTTCGTGTCCTTCACCTTGCCAAAAACTGCATCACAGAAATCAAAGACAGGTAAACACATATTCTCCAGATAGGTATGCACCAGCTCTCAAAACAGGAAAAAACACATGCCATTAAGGCAGTGAAACACGTGATCTTACAGAGTGAGTGAGAGAGTGAGTGAGTTTTACGCCATACTCAGCAATATTCCAGCTATATGGCGGTGGTCTGTCTGGACCAGACAATCCAGTGATCAACAGCATGAGCATTGATCTGCACAATTGGGAACTGATGACATGTGTCTACCAAGTCAGCGAGCCTGACCACCCGATGCCTCTAGTCGCCTCTTACGACAAGCATGGGTTACTGAAGATCAATATTCTAACCCGGACCTTCACGGGTTGATCATACAGAACTGTATGGTACATGCTTGGATGACAGGTAAATCAGATGCCCTCAAGAGAGATGCTCTCACTACAGGTAGAACACTTGCCAACACAGGCAAAAGGCAAGTAAAACACATGCTTTGGAAGACATGCATTCAACGTCGTCTCAAGGACAGGGCTGGGAATGCCAAAATGGTGTCTCACTGTACAATGGATACATTATTTAGGGTGACAAGTATGTTTGTGTACCCTGTACATGAAACTACATCACAGACATATACACCCAGGTATAAAATATGCAGGATCTTGTGGACAGATACATAAATTGTGAAAGCAACTCCCCTAAAAAATTGCAATGCAAATATTATAGTGTATTTTATCTTATTAATGGATCATTCATTTAGATTTCTATTCTTAAGGTCACTTCTTTCACTTCTTTCCCATCATCAGCTTGTTGTTTCTGCCATCAGTGGGGGACAGCTTGTTCAGAAATTTCAGTTTCAATAAAGGTGAAATTCCTCACACCTTACCATGAGAACTAGAGCTGGTTATCGTTACATTTTGTCAGATCAATAATCACTAGTGTGAGATCAATAATCAATTGATTATAATCGTTTGGACAGCCATCATTTCATAGTCAAATACCTACGTTAGCGCGCCGACTAACTTCCGGTCATGTTATCAACACCTGTCCTGTCAATTGTTAACATCAACACAGCAGAGTTACTTACATTTGCAGTGTCTTTTGGACAAGTCAACACGTGTTCTGATTGGAAATATATCTTTATGCATTGCCATTGGCTGACAGGGGAGGCATGCTCACTTGAGTAGTACACATCTTGTGTTTTAGAAGTAAACAAGCAATGACGACGAGATTGTTCGGTAAAAGAAAACATGACAAGGTAGAATAAAACGTTTTAATGTATGTACATCCAAATAATGATTATTTCCGATTATTTGTAATCGACAATCGTTTATTTTGACTTAGATCGAACGATTAACCAATCCTACGATTAATCACTCCAGCACTAATGAGAACTACTGATAAACTGACCAAGGTTACTCAGTTTTTTAAGGATAGAAAAGGTCAATGGTATGTTATTCACAAAGCTAGTGAAAATTTGAAATGACAGCTTGTTTTCAAACATTATTAATTATTTACATGAACCACTGGCCTTGAAATAAGCTGATGGCGAGTTGAATATAACACTAGGTATATGTTTCAGTGAGTTCCAGAAACTGGAGCAGCTCCAGGAGCTGAACGTGTCCTTCAACAGCCTCCGGTTCCTGCCTGTATGTCTGAGCAGACACACCAAGCTCCAGGTTCTACGAGCCAATGCCAATCTCCTGCAGGAGTTACCTAACTTCAGGAACTCTTCCAGTCTTAAGGTACTTTGTTATCTCCTTGACTGCATGTATATGGTATTTATGATGTTGTTTTACATTAACATCAACGGGCATTAACAAACAAATTATCTTATTTTGTTTGACACATGATTGACTTGATCTGTGTAGGTCACGTATTGACACCTACATCCATTGTCTTGAAATGGTGCTTGTCCTTACGTGGAAAAACCTGACTACAGCTGAAACCAAGTCACCTGTCTGCAGTCAGCCGATGGTGCCGTTGCGTCATGTCATGTTTTCACTTCTCACTTGCTGTACAGTTGTGATGACAGACATTAATGAAAACCCATCATTTTGTGTTTTAACTGTTTCCTAAATTAAACTTCAGGTGTTAGAGGTTGGCACCAATCGTCTAGAAAATGTCAGTATGGGCAACTTGATGACATCCAAGGTCAATCTCCTTGACATCTCCGGTAACCCAAATATCTTTGTCAATACAGATGAACTTCAAGGAATCAAGTAAGTACAACAACTGTCAGCAAATAATACTGCCCAAGTGTGTTTTTTGTATTTTTATGATGTTATAATCATATTGTGTTTCGTGAATTCATACAAATTCTAATTTTTTATCTTTGAGCTATTCATCCAATTTCGATTCATAGTTTCATAATGATGGATTATACATTGTTATGCAGTACAATCTGTTTGTAGCATTGTCCATGCAACACTTTGCCTCATATATTGTATTGATTGTATTGTAGATTTATTGGCATAACCTAATTGAAAGAAATATTAGATTAGACAATAAATATTCATTTCATCTGTAATTATATCATGTCTAATTGACTACAATTGCCCGTAGGAATGCAAAGAGAGAAATATATGCCTTTCCTTTGGTTATAACATTATGTGTGATTGAATGCCATTGCCTATAGGAATGCTTCGGGACAATAAATATTCATATCCTTTGGAATCACATCATTGAATACATTGAGGGTCATTTCTTGTAGGAATGCCAAGAGAGTCTGTATGATTGACATGAGAGGACAGAACCGGTCTCTCAACAATGTCTCCTCAATGGAGGCGGAACTCAGCTGGCAGAGTGGGTTTTCTCAGACTTCAGGCATGAGAAACAAGTAAGATCCCTCACCAAGTTTACAGACATTGTAGTGTAGGAGTACAGAATAGGACCCAGACAACTTTCACTCTGCAGGGAATCCTAGGATAGATCTGCAGTACCCTATAATTGTCTTGGGAGTCCAGGGTGTGATAGTTTCCCATAGTTGTCATCAAGGGGATTCTAGGTAGGATAGTTTCCCATAGTTGTCATCAAGGAGATTCTAGGTAGGATAGTTTCCCATAGTTGTCATCAAGGGGATTCTAGGTAGGATAGTTTCCCATAGTTGTCATCAAGGGGATTCCAGGTGTGATAGTTTCCCATAGTTGTCATCAAGGGGATTCTAGGTAGGATAGTTTCCCATAGTTGTCATCAAGGGGATTCTAGGTAGGATAGTTTCCCATAGTTGTCATCAAGGGGATTCTAGGTAGGATAGTTTCACATAGTTGTCATCAAGGGGATTCTAGGTAGGATAATTTCCTATAGTTGTCATCAAGGGGATTCTAGGTAGGATAGTTTCCTCTAGTTGTCATCAAGGGGATTCTTAGGTAGGATAGTTTCCCATAGTTGTCATTGAGGGGATTCTAGGTAGGATAGTTTCCTATAGTTGTCATCAAGGGGATTCTAGGTAGGATAGTTTCCTATAGTTGTCATCAAGGGGATTCTAGGTAGGATAGTTTCCTATAGTTGTCATCAAGGGGATTCTATGCCATATCACAGCAGGGAACACCAACAATGGACTAACACAGTGGACCCCTGTTGGGAATCAAAGTCTTGACAAGCTTGACAAACTAATTCTTAATCCACTGTTCTATCCAACTCCTCCTTATCTTCATACTATACGACCCGTGAAGGTCCGGGTTAGAATATTGATCTTCAGTAACCATTGCTTGTCGTAAGAGGTGACTAACAGGATTGGGTGGTCAGGCTCGCTGACTTGGTTGACACATGTCATCGTTTCCCAATTGTGCAGATCAATGCTCAGTTGTTGATCAGTGGATTTTCTGGTCCAGACTCGATTATTTACAGACCGCCGCCATATAGCAGGAATATTGCTAAGTGCGACATAAAACTAAACTCACTCACTTGCTCACTGCATACTATACTCACATGCAATAAAAACACAACTCAGAATTCATGAAAATTATACTTTTGTCAGCATGAGTTTGGATTTGATACTTCAACACAGTTGTTTTGATTTCTTGAATTGCATTTCTGTTGGTGGTCAGTATATGTTAGATAGACTCTGCATGTAATCTATACAACAATTTGTGGTCAGCTTCTGGTATGTGTTTATGTACAGTCATGACTTCACCTCTCCCGTATTTTACTTATGTTTGTTTCTGCAGGCTTTCAGTGGCAATGCTCAATAAATCCAAGTTCAGCAACGCTGGGGATGCTCTCTTCGGGATATTTGATGGTGGCCGTAATGATGAAGTTGCTAAACTGATGATTGAGTTGGTGCCAGAGATTGTTGCAGAAGAGAAACAGAAAATGCCAACCCAGGAAGGTTTTCTAAAGTACACCATGCTCTCAGCTCACAAGTAAGGCACACATGGCCTCAAATCTTTTTAGTTATCTAGAACTCAGAGGACTAGATTCAGAGCTGTTTTTCTGGTATAAATGTCAGGAAAAGTTAAGACAAGAAATTAATAATGTCCAGTTTCCTTGATATATTCATAATTGATGTGGTGGCCCAGTCAAGGTGATTAATATTTCATGGATAAAATGACCATAAAAGAGAGCTTATGGTGCGTAATTTTACATTCAGTGTTACAACAAAATGTTCAAACTGCTTTTACAAAAAACAAAAAGTACTTTAATTCCAATTTTAAACAAAATTAACAAGTAGGCCCAAGTTGCCTGACAAGGAATCCTAGATATTAATTCCTCCCCTTAAATGGTATCCATAAATCCATAAGATTTCCAACATTTCAAAAGGAAAAGTGAATCATTTCTCTTAAAAATGAAACATGTTTATTTTCAGCTACTTTTAGTGTTTACTTAGTAACGACATAACTACTGGGTATATATATTTGGCCATGTAATGTATTGTCTAGCACTGTAAGATAATTTGTTGTGTTATTTCCAGGAAGATCAAGTCAGTGGGTCAAAGGGTTGGAGCTGCAGCTGCCTTGGTGCATATTCAGAAACATCCAAACATTCCCGGATCAATATTCCCTGTGTGTCGCCAACGTTGGGGACACTGAGGTGGTGTTGTGTCGTCAAAGCGGCCCCATCTCTCTTACCCGTCAGTTTACCGTGTCGCATGACAAAGAAGAGTGTCAGAGGGTCATTAACTCTGATGGCATCATCACTGAGGTAAAACTAACATTCACATCAATACAAACAAATGATGTGTTACTTTATTAATATTGCAGGAGTGAGGCTATGTTGTTTAAAGCTGCAGTCAGTAAGATACCTGCTACATTGCAGCCATTTTCATTAGTTGTATGTATCATAATCATGTTATATCACACGCAGCTTGGGGTTATTTAATACCTTTTATTATCCAGAGATGTACAGGTATCAGTGAACTTACTTTCAGAAATTCTCACTAAGCATGATTGAGTTTGGACCACACAAACCAGGGTTGATATCATGAGTACCATCTCATTCCATCAGGGTACAATGACATTGTTTGTTTGGGACATGATCCTGTAATATCAAGGCGTATGATGAAAATCACCAAGTCTGAATCATTTTCAGGTGAATCCCACAACCATGTTTATGGTGCCAACAAACCAAAGATCATAATAAATATGGGTAGATACAGGATTCAAACCCACTCATTAAATTCTTTCTTACTTCAAACCAAAATGGAGAAAGTGAGTGAGTTTGGTTTTCTGCCGCTTTTAGCAATATTCCAGCAATATCATGGCGAGGGACATCAGAAATGGGTTTCACACAATGCACCCATGTTGGGAATCGAACCTGTTTCTTTGATCAACCTCTTTCACCACTAGGTTACCACAATGACCCTAAAACGAAATGGAAAAAATCTGTTTTAATCAGACAAAAGTATTTTGATAGGCAGAGTATTGGTGTTAATGTTACTACATGAATATTTGCTGTTTCAGGACGGTCGTATTAGTGGTGTGACATTCAACACTCGTCTGATTGGCTGCAGCTACCTGTTCCCCCAGGTCATCACTAGTCCCCACATCACATCCATGACACTGACTTCAGAAGATCAGATGATCATCATTGCCAATCAGGGTCTCTGGAGATACATGTCACACGAGGAAGCTGTCCGTGAGGTCATAGACATCCCAGACCCTGTCATTGCAGCCAAGAGACTACAGGATCTAGCTCAGGGGTATGGATCTCGGGAGAATATTGGGATCCTTGTGGTGAAGCTTCTGCTGTCAGATGCAGAGAGGTTCAGGATGACTGAGATACTGCGGACTCAGATGGCGAGTCAGAAGCAGTTGCTGAACAAACTGCGTGAGCAGGCCAATGTAACCCAACTTCATGCCATCCCTGCAGTAGCAGAGTTGGGTGGAATTGTCATCGACAAAGCAGGAAGAGTCAAGAAACATAGGGGAGAAAGGCCAAGTTTAAGTGTGAAGCCGACTCCTGCTCCAAATAACAGGTATCGGAAGAAGGATGCAAATCCAAATTGGGAGACAGTACTCCAGAAACGGTTGGCTGAAGAGGTGAAGGACAAGGAAATGCAGGAGATGTTCAAAATCACAGAGGAAGATGACATCCAGGAGGATTCAGAGGAACCAAGAAGCAACTGGTCAACCCTGACCAAGAAGCGAGAGACAGCTTCTGAGAGTGCTGCTATGAACCAGAAGCAGATGGCAATGCGAAACCCCATCCCTTCAGCCAACACTTCTGCAGTGAAACCAATGGTTCGGACAGAATCCACAGACACCATCACATCACTGGATGAGTTCTATCGCCAGCCAATTGTAACTGCAAACATTGACAGAGATGCCATACTGTTTCATCAGATGCAGATGGCAAGAGCTCAGAGCATCAGTTCAAGCAGTCTAGATTCAACTCAATCTGACCCAATGTATGCCTCAGTGAGGGAAGTGTACAGAGGTCCTAGGGCTCCATCTAGGAGTATTGAAGTGCTGGTACACTCGCCAACTTCTGATGAACAGAGACTTCAACCAGTGCGTGCACACCGTCGACCAGAGAAGGCAGTTGCTCCTCTACAAGTTGACCCTAAGGTGGAAAAGTCTCGGGGAGGATGAGGATGACATTGATGCTATTGAATATGAGATCATTGAAAGCTTCCATGCCAGCATAGAGGATCTGTATGCACGGGTCATGAAAAAGAAACAAAGTACAATGGAAAAAGACCCAAGTAAGGTGAACCTTGTGAAGTTCAATAGCTCGGATGACACTAGGGTAGGGGACTATGAAGAAGTGTACGTCCAGCAGCAGCCGCACCATCCTCATGGTCCAGGGTACCAGGAAGCGGTCACTGTCATTGATGATCTGACAGATCTTGATGACACCATTGATGCTGCTGAAGATGTGAATGGTGTTGGCAGGCATCAAGGCCAGGAGAGGAAACATTCACCAACTCCTACGGGTGTCACCAGGTTTCCTAGTCAACAGAGTGTTATTATCACATACTTATAGGACAATGTGTTATTGCTACATATCACATAATGACCGAACATCATGACTTTATCATCCAAAACTGTGTTCCACAGGAGATATCTCTTGTGTGAGATCAGACGATATCTCCTAGGAGATCTCGTTTTGACAGTAGCTTTTGCACAATGCCCAGACAATGCTATGACGTCATGAACTTTATGATGTCACAATTAGAGGTGTGACGATTTCACGATACGATACATACCGCAATATCTTGAAACGATACGATTCGATTCGATGCATATCAGGATATGCTTTCTTTAGTTATTTTCTTTAAAAAATTATATGTTAATAGCAAGAAATTTTGACATAACCGTCAATATCTAATGAAAATTAACAATTTTAAGGTCAACGAGACATATCACGATACAAAAAAACGTAATGATATATTTATCGTCAGATAAAGTATCATGATTATCAATACTACGATATATCGTCACAGCTCTAGTCACAATGCTATGACATCGCTGCACTGCAATTTTAATGGCAGTACTGTGTTCAGAGATAACTAAAACTAATGAAGAGTGATTTTTGATGATAAATAGAATCTCACCCTCGTGTCTTCTGATATCAAATATATCAACACTTCTTGATATAAGTAAAAATATTTGTTACTTTATCAACTCGTGATGATATATTTGATATCAAAAGACTCTCGGGTGAGATTCTCTATTTATCACTTCATATGCTCTGCCTTGCAACTCCAAGGCATTCTTGACATGTATTTGAAGTTTGATAGGTGATTGGGTATACTAAGTGTAAATATAACTTATTTTGGGATATGTTTACAAAAGACCAACATGACCAAAATACAAATTGTGTATATCAAATTCAAATAGTGCTTGGATATTAACTTGTGATTATAACTTGTGCCACAACTATTCTAGAAACATTATAATAATATGCATCAATATTATACCAAATCAGATGATGTTATAGCACTGTGGTCAATATTGCAACTTATCATATACTTACAGAACACTGTATTATTGCAACATATCATATATTTTCAGAACACTGTATTATTGCAGCATATCATATACTTACAAAACACTGTATTATTGCAACATATCATATACTTACAAAACACTGTATTATTGCAACATATCACATACTTACAGAAAACTGTGGTCAATATTGCAACATATCATATACTTACAGAACACTGTATTATTGCAACATACCATATACTTTCAGAAAACTGTATTATTGCAGCAAATCATATACTTACAAAACACTGTATTATTGCAACATATCATATACTTACAAAACACTGTTTTATTGCAACACATCATATACATACAGAAACTGAAGTCAATATTGCAACATTTACTGACAACACTGTATTAAATATTGCAACTCTATCCTATTCTTATTGAACACTATGATTATACAACAATATGACCAACAGATAGTGCTTGTTGTAGACATTCTAGCAACTCATGAAAGATGGTAGATAGTATGACTTTACTGCATATGATTTGCATACAATGGTAGAAAATACATTATCACATACTTGTAGCACCCCATGGTAGTTATGGATTAACACATACTTAACTACCTTCAAGCTCATGTCAGATAATGCAACATTATACCACTTTGTTGGATATTGCAACTGAATGAGAAGCATATATTGTGTTCAGAAAAGATGGCATATTGTATATACATGCTAGGTGAATTGTCATAAACTAATTCGCATATATATTACTGGAGTCTAATCAGTTCATAAATTCATGAGGACATTAAAATGTGTTGTACAGAATTCCACATAAATCCTTTGCCCATTGATAAAATGCATTGACATGTGTAAGAGATCAATTATTGTAGATATAAGGCAATTATTGTATAGTTTAAGGCATTTGTACATAGTTTGATGTGAAGATAAATGGACATATGAAGCAGAGATGCCAACCCTTACGCTTTAGTCGTAATTATTACGATTTTGACCATTAAATTATGCCATTACACTTAATCTGCGAAAATTACGCTTTTCTACTCGTTTTACAAAAATCAATAAAGTGGATAAATTTCACAGATAATATTTTGTAACGCACAGGTGCAGAAATGGCCTTGCACCGATAGGAATCGCTTAATCTTAGCATCACCCTCATTCCAATTAACTTGCAAGGAATTAAAGTATTTTGAGTCACATGACCAACAATTTTAGATGTATGGAGCTTCATAATGATTGGTCACATGTGTTTCTATCTAGAATCTTCCTTTCGTGAAAATGTGTACCATTTTGAAGCGATCGGCAGACAAATATTACACTTTTTAGGTCCAAATTACACTTTTTGACCACTAGTATTACACATAGGCCTAACATAGGGTTGGCATCTCTGTATTAAGTGATGAATAAAAGGGAGACTATTCTATAATGGCACTAGGCATCATATTGCTGGGTGGAAATGGTTGCAAGCCACTGTGCATGTGGAACTTAGTTATAGAAGCTTAACTCTTCTTCAACTGATCTATTGTGCCTCATATTGACAGATACCCGTGAAGGTCCGGGTTAGAATGAACCTTCAGTAACCCATGCTTGTCTCCACCCGTGAAGGTCCGGGTTAGAATGAACCTTCAGTAACCCATGCTTGTCGTAAGAGGTGACTAACAGGATCGGGTGGTCAGGCTCGCTGGCTTGGTTGACACATGTCATCAGTTCCCAATTGCACAGATCATTGCTCATGTTGTTGATCACTGGATTGTCTGGTCCAGACTCGATTATTTACAGACCGCTGCCATATAGCTGGAATATTGCTGAGTGCGGCGTAAAACTGAACTCACTCAATCAGTCATATTGACAGAGGGCTTAGTTACCTTTCCCTGAGGTACTACATTGAACTTCCATATCTGACCAACATGCTCCCAAGATTTGTATTATTCATATGCCACCAATTTTACATTCTTTAAATATGTCAACTGTGTTGTAAGCATTTACGCCAATCTGATGTTTAGGATATTGTTAAACAAAGCTATGATAGTCCTAAGATTATGGGGGCGGTAGGGTAGCCTAGTGGTTAAAGCGTTGTCTCGTCACCCGGAAGACCCGGGTTCAATTCCCCACATGAGCACAATGTGTTAAGCCCATTTCTGGTGTCCCCCCGCCGTGATATTGCTGGAATATTGCTAAAAGCGGCGTAAAACTAAACTCAGTCAGTCAGTCAGCCTAAGATTATGTTCCAGTATGCGAGTCTTTATGCTGAGATCACTTTGAGGAATAGGGTCCTGATCTGAGACATGGTTAAGCATAATAGAGAATCATCATAAGACTGTCAAGGGTATGTTTCCACAAAGTGCTGTCAATCTTCCACTCCAGCACCACCTGTGTTATAGTATGATGAGTACAACAGTGAAAGGTTTGGGCTATCTGCTTGAACATAGGCCAGGCCAAGAGGAACACTTCTTAAATTAGCTGTATTGTGTCATGATTCTTATGAAGCATATTTTAAAATTTGGTTTACAAATCTAAATCCAAGTAATATGTTTACAAGATTCATATACCATATCTATCAAGCACAATAATTTTGTTTAAATTGAAATATGTTGAAAATTGATCTTAAAAACAACAAATTATGATGACAGTGCAATACAAAACAGTATATGAAAATATTTAGGTAATGTGTGCTAAATGAGTTGGCCACAAAGTCATACCCTAAACACATCTAGCCCTACCCAGATAGCATTCAGACGTTGGCCCAACATTGGCAATGGTTCTGCCATCATTGCCAACGTTGGCCCAACGTCCGAATGCTATCTGGGTACCAGTTCAGTGGCAATGCCTGATGTGATTACAAGCAATGTTTGACCTGATGTATCATGTCATCATTTGATCCAGTTTAAGTTTAATAGGATTGTACAAATAACTATGAAGTATTCAAGCATATTGTACAACATATGTCTCATGACAGTTCAACAGTATATAACTACAATAAAGCTGGAGATTTTGTCTTTCATGTGCTGTCAGATGTCTTTTGTCTGTATCTTTGTATGATTTTGTCTGATGTTATTATATTATCAGAAAATATGTATAGTGAGCACTCTTCTATGCCTATAGTCCTGATTAACAGTTGTATATGCTATAAAGGATAATTAACAGATCACATACTGACATAATTTTCAGTATATACAATTGGTGGTGTATATTTTAATTAAACCACTCTGAGCTTAGCTTATATCATGAGCATGTACATATTAATAAGATGGATATACATATGAGTTAGAGCATGTTTAACTCAGAGACATTTACATATCATTGTTATTGACAGTTTCAAATATTGAACAATTACGAACCAGCATAGAGTGAAACCTTGTTTGTCCAAACATTCTGTAATGTAGGCATTTGTGGATGCAAACACAACATTTACTGTTTACACAAATGAATGAGTTATTCTATTTTATTCAGAAAGCAATGTTAAATCATGATAAATTCAACACTGCTGCGGCCAACATGACATTTGCATGTGCATTACTTAGTGAGCACATCAATGGTTCAGTGATTAGCTTATTAGACTGGTATCTCTTTTTTTTTCCCCCATTGAATTGAACTGCTTAAAAAACCCACAGAAAATGGAATATGGTAATATGGTAG